CTTGCAATATAATGTGATCAGGGATAGAAAAGGGCTACAAGGAAGTAGGAGAAAAAGTTTGGCCTTCTAGACAAGGAAGTTAATAAAGAACCCTACCGCAAATAATGAGTTTTGGGAATCTTGTCATTCAGTAAATCAGGTGTGACCCATTTTACGCAAAATGCAGTTTTTAGTGTGTGATAAAAAGTGGAATATGGTCACAATTACAAAACAATACACACAATACACACAACAAAGGTCACAAACATCACAAGACAATTAGTCACCATCACACAATACCTGGAAAATTGCAGCTAGCCATTATTATTAACACATCGAGGAAAATGGGCACATGTGTTAACTTAGGTAACTTATAACCAATCACAAAAGACCAGAATACCCGAGGACCTTGGAGAACTGATAATTGTAGGAGAAACTAAAATAAGATATTTATACTTGTATGGTTTCTCCTCCCACAGGCAACAGGGACCCTTTTCCAATCTTTCTGGAAAAGTCTATGCTTATCTATGCCTTCCTTTAAATAAACTGTACTCTTTCTCTGCTACCCTGGCCCATCTCCTTTACTCCTATCTCCCCCCAGGCCTTACTTTCAGTTTGACTCAGCCAAATGTGCTAATTCTGATGAGTAACTGGACCAAGTTTACAACAGGGGGTCTTGGAAACCTCTAACATACTTTCTGGTGCTCCCCAAAGCCAAAGAAATCAGGTCAGGCAATACAAGAGAGAACAGAATTTCAGACCTGAAAGGAATCTACCTACTTATATAGAAGTTTCATGTGAAAGAGGAGTCTGTGGTGCCTTTTCTATTTTCCTTAAGGGATACTGTGGTGTTAGATATATTTTTTTCTAGGTCTTTTCTTGTGGCATTGAGGACAGTGGGAGGAAGGACGGAGTGGTAGATATAAGTGCCAAAACAGAGAAGGGGAATGCATATCACTAGTAGGGGTTTAAGAGAAGAATTTAATTGAGAAATTTTAAAGAGAGAGAACAGAGGCCTTAAAATAATATCCTTTTAAATCTCTAATTATTAGATTTTAGCTGAACAAAGAACTGATATTTCTGGTTTTTGAACTTATTTTTCTTTTAAACCAAGGGTATCCTCAGTGACACTAATAAGCCTGAACCAGGGTGATAATGACTTAACCAAGGACATATGAGTTCTCTCCAAAGTGATGAAAAGCAGTTTTTAGCAAGATCCAGAACCACCCTAAAAGCAGCTCTGGGAAAGCGAACTTTTGCTGGCCACAAATGGGGTATAATACATGTTTTTTAGGGTCTCCATAGCTGACCATCTTCAAACAAAGTCCCCAAAGCTTGGGCTGGGTGAGGTAGCTCACACCAGTAATCCAAGCTCTCTGGAAGGCTGAGGCAGGAGCATCACTTGAGGCCAAGAGTTGGGAAATAGCCTGAGCAAGAGGGAGACCCCCATCTCTACAAAAATAGAAAAATTAGCTGGGTGTTGTGGCACACGCCTACAGTCTCAGCGGCTTGGGAGGCTGAAGCAGGATAATCACTTGAGGACTTCATGGGGTTGTGGTTGTAGTGTATATGATTGTGGCCACTGCACTCCAACCTGGGCAACAGAGCAAGACTCTGTTCAGGAAACAAAACAAAACAAAACAAAACTTCATATAGCCCCACAGTCAGAAGAAAATAGGAAATCAAACACCATCCATGGAAGATGAAAGTCAAAAGTCACATAGACACCAAACCAAAAGGCCCGATAGAGAATTGAACTGAGACTGCAGCTATAAAAGCACTTACTTTTAAATAGCCTTCCTAGTGAATCCTGCATGGAACTAAAAATCAGGAAATTTGAGCATATAAAGAATACCAGCTTTGTTTCAGAATATTAGCTTTTTAATTTCATCAAGAAAATTTTAAGGGTGTCCTTGACACTATGTGTCTTAAAAAATTTGATCTTTCTATCAATTGTTCAGAATAAGAGATCTCTAAAATTATATATATATATATATTTATATATAAAGAGAGATTGATTTTTATATTTAGAAGTCTAATTTAAAGTACTGATTTTTATGGCCATTGATAATTTGGTGCATTTATTCTAATAGCCACCCAATCCAAAAGAAAACAATCTCAAAGATCCTACCACACTCCCCAACCACTTACATAACAAGAGTTGAAATGAGAAAATACCCTTATGACTGAGACTTCCCAAGAGTTTGATACATTCTAAACAACACTCTCAAGTTCTCAGTCATTTTTAGACTGGCCAATGAATGTGACCTATAAAACAGTGCCTCCTGATGGTGGAGATGGTGAGGGCACTTCTGCTCAGTCACAGGCCACGTCCTCAAGAACATAGATCAAGATGAGAGGGAAGGCTACCCAGCAGCCCTCTTTATGCCAGAAAAACCAGAGAAACAAAACAAAGGAAAAGACTATTTCTGGGAGGAAAGGGATTGAACAGACAAATCGTGACTTTTTTCTTTTTTTTTTTTTTTACCATTTGCTCAACTGCATTTCAGAGAGAGAGGGCCCAGAGGCCTGGCTTGTAAGAAATCCTTACCCTCTGCCAGCAGATTACATTCACAGATTTTCTTCACTACAACTTCCAGAAGAAGAGAGTTTTGATCACCCTACTTAGAGATTGTGGAACTATAATGACTGAAACAAAATTATACTACATGTAACAAAGGTATAAATGCCAGTGACTTTACTCCATTTGGTATTTGAGCTTTAACCTGGACAAACAGATGAAGCAAAATGGTTCCCTCTCAGTTGGGACTGCTGATCTGTTGCTTGCATTTTTTTGGGTTCCCCCATACAGATGTAACCAGATGAAGACACACATAAGGCCTCTCGAATCAGAACCAAAGCCCAAATTCCAAGCAAATACATGTGGTTACTCAAGGCCATGATTCTTAGCTTAGCTCCTTAAGTGGGGGTGGGAGGGATCCCCAACTAAACCAAGCACTGTGATGAGGTAGAGCCAAATGTCTTAACGTATAATTCCTTGCTGTTGTCAACACAAGAGTCTGCTCTTGACCCAAGACTCGCCCATTTCTGGTACCACATGATGAAAGCCACACCCAAACACTGTGATCTGTCCCTGAGTTAAAAATCACTTCAGCAGCTGCTGGACAGAGCCTTGGTGGTAGCTGTGGCAGGGGGTGATGTGCTGTGGGAGACATCTACTCTAGATTTTGTTGCAACTGGGGTACCAATAATTTTTCATTAATAAATCAATCTGTTTAAAGCAAATGGAGGTCCTCTCACTTAGAGCAGCAAAGCCACCCTGGAGCCAGGTGTTTCAGCAGCGAGCATTTAAATCTTAAACTTCCAGATGTCTTACAAGCCAGTTTTTTGTTTTCTTTTTTCATTTCCCCCCCCTATAACACAGGGCTAAGCTGGGAGCCAGGGTTTTCAAAGGCCCATGTAAATTGCAGGGAGGTCTGGGTCAAAAAGGCCATGAGATACACCTCGAGGCTGGGCCAAAGAGGTGAACTGATGAAAAGGGGCCACTCACATAGAGATTGAGGAAAAGAGTTCTACACAAAGTGAATAAGAAGCGCAAAAGCCCCAAGTGGGCAAAATGAGAATTAAAGACAATATAATGAGTTTTTCGTGAAGCTCAAGTTATTTTCAAATCTTTTTCTACTGCCTGCTAGTTGCTGTACACGATCTGATCCCTACTTCACCAACTTGCATTTTTTCCTCTTAGATTATCATTCCTTTAGCACTCTTTGCTACCTTGTTTATACTATATTCCAGCCTATAACAATTTTAATGATAAGAAATTGTATCTAAATTTAGTTATAACAGATCATATTTCATAGACTCTTAGGAAAGGGGAACATGAAAGGTAGATTCTGGAGACCATCTCTTGCCTGACTTCTGCATCTGTTCGTTATGATTCTCTAGAGAGAAAACATTTGTTATAGAAATAAGGCATTTGTTGTGGAAAAGCAAAGCAAAGATTAACACCAAGGCATTTGTCTCTTTTGTTTGGCTGTCTGAGATTCCCTTCTCCTTACCTCAAAAATCCCAATATTTTCTTAACATCCTATTGCATATTTAAATGTACACAACAAAATTTATTTGAAAAAATTCAATCATCAGCTCCTCTTCTAGCAAATAAAACAAGAACTCCTTGTACAAGCATCCTGGTAAAAAGTGTGTAGGGAAGTTTATGTTTTTTGGTTTTGTTTTGTTTTTTCTTTCCCTGCTGAATAGAAGCTGAGCTATGGTTCTCTTCTGGCAAACTAAGTTCTAGGATGAAATTTTATTTTGTTCCCACTTTTTATTTAAATAACAGTATGATAGTTGCAGGAAAGAAAATTAAAAGACCAAAATGTATAATGAACTGGGAAGTAGCTCACATCTGTAATGTTAGTACTTTGGGAGGCAGGGATGGGAGGATCACTTTGAGACCAGGAGTCTGAGACCAGCCCGGACAATATAGCATTATTGATGTCAAGAAGCAATAAATGAGAACAAGAGAGTCAACTCTGAATTTTTTTATTCAGTGTGTTTTTGCCAAGGCCTTGCTTGCTACAGCATTCTGTACACCTGGGAAGGCAAAAGGAAAAACAGCTACCTTCACCCCTCCGTAGGCTCTGTAAAGATTAGGGAAGGTGAGACGAAAGTTAACCATTATCAAATCTGTATTATACGTAAGAGGAAAAAATTAATTCAAACACAAGAGTAGGTCCTCCATTTTTAAAAATTGAGTTAAACTCCTTGTGTGTAAATATGAGAACTTGGTATACGTAAAAGTCTTTGTTATGAAGTGCAGCCTAACAATACAATCTATATTTCTTATTTTTCCAGTAATAGGTAATGCAACTTGCAAAACACTACTGAAACTTGAAGCAAGAAGAATAATATTTAAACATCATATGATCATTATACCTCTTTATTCATCAAAGTAGCTTCATTTCCTTGCTTTTCATCTGTTCTCTTATCTAGCATCACATATTGAGTAAACGGAAGCGTGAAGAAATAAGTGTTTTGACAGTAGCCAATACTCCTTGGCAATGAGAGTATTAAGATTCAAGCATATCTTTTTGGGGAACTTTAATGAGTCCAATGAAGCATTCCAGATAGTGCTCGCCTTCCTTCTGATTCCATGTTGCTTAGCTCAAGATTACAGAGCACGTCCTATTTTACCAAAGGTGTCTTTCCTCTGGGCATGGAATGCCCCGACTGAACCTTGTGTTGGAGCATCTAATCAGCCCCTGGATCTGAGCCTGTTCACTTTAATAGGAAGCCCCCGGAAAGATGCCTTAGGGCAAGATGTTACAATATTTTACGTGGATAGACTTGGCTACTATCCCTACATAGATCACAAAGGCAAGCTTGTGAATGGAGGAATCCCTCAGAAGGGCTCCTTACAAAACCATTTGGACAAAGCTAGGAATGACATTATATATTATATTCCAAAGGACAAAGTGGGCATGGCTGTCATCGACTGGGAAGAATGGAGGCCCACATGGGCGAGAAACTGGAGACCTAAAGATATTTATAGGAATCTCTCTATTGACTATGTTCAGCAAAAAAATGCAACCCTTAGTGTTGCAGAGGCTACCAAGATAGCCAAGGATGAATTTGAGACGATAGGAAAGGCTTTCATGCTAGACACTTTAAGGTTGGGGATATCAATTCGACCAAAGCATTATTGGGGATATTATCTTTTCCCTGATTGTTATAACACTCATTATAAACAAGCTAATTACAATGGAAGTTGCTTTTATATAGAAAAGAAAAGAAATGATGATCTTGAGTGGTTGTGGAAGGAAAGCACTGCCCTTTACCCATCTATTTATTTGAACACACAAATGACTCCTGATCGAGGTGCGCTTTATGTGCGAAACCGAGTTCATGAAGCCATTAGGGTTTCCAAAGTACGTAATGCTGCCGACCCACTTCCAGTTTTCGTATATACCCGCCTAGTTTTTACAGATGACGTTATGAAATTCCTTTCTGAGGTAAGTAAATCAAGGCATAAGGGCAGGGAAATAATGTCTATAAAAATTACAGTGAAATTTAATATTACTTTTGAAGGGAATGAAATTTAGTTTTTAACATATGTACATAAGAAGTTTTACATTATGATGTGAGTGCAAAATAGGTATGTTTAATTTTTAATTACCTAATCTCATAGCAAGGATGGAGACTTAGATAGTATAGACTATGTATTAAATCAGTTTCTTTTTTTGCTTTCATGAGTTTCTTCCTTTGTTAATAGAAGCAATTAAAACAAGAATGGTCTCTTTTTTTTTTTGATACAGAGTCTCAAACTATCATGCTGGGTAGAGTGCTGTGGCATCAAAGCTTACAGCAACCTCCAACTTTTGGGCTTAAGCGATTCTCTTGCCTTGGCCTCTCAAGTAGTTGGGATTACAGGCTCCTGCCACAATGCCCAGCTGTTTTTTGGTTGTAATTGTCATTGTTGTTTGGCAGATCTGGGCTGGATTCGAACCTGCCAGCTCTGGTGTATGTGGCTGGCACCTTAGCTGCTTAAGCTACAGCCGCTGAACCAATAGTCCCTTTAAAAAATATATATATAATAAGGCAATGTCTGTGTAAAAGATTTGAATAGTGGAGAAATATTTAAATTACTATTATTAGTTAAGCATGTTTAGTTTTGATGTTATTGTCTTATGTAACAATTTTATTTTCTTTTTATCTGATGACTCTTCCTATCACATTTTCCAGGAAGACCTTGTACATACATTTGGTGAAACTATTTCACAGGGTGCCTCTGGAATTGTAATTTGGGGAAGCCTTACTTTACTGAGAGCTGCGGTAAGTTGAATTGGTAAAAAAAAAAAAAAGATGAAAACATTTCTACCTTTAATGTTTTTGAGGATTATTTAGGTATCGAATATGAAAATAAGTAGTACTATGCATTGTGTGTAGTAGCAAGTGCTCAATTAATACTACATGAATCAAAATACCTTGGATTTGCAAGGAAAAAGAAATTAAGTGAGATTAATTGAATTTATGTAGGCTACATGGCTATTAAATAGCCAGACTGAGATTACGGTATCAGTTTTCTGATATGGTATTTGGTATCAGAAGATTCTTGTTTAATTCTATATATCAGGTCTTTATTCTCCATCTCTTCAATCCTTTTGACTCAATATCAGAATAAAGCTGTCATATCACTGCTGAATTAGAGCCGAATATTTCCTTCTCTGATCGATGTGGAAGTACTAGTACTTTCTTTCTGTTGTCACTAATGACAAATGTGCCAGGGAGAATCTCAAATGAAGCTTGTGGACCAAGATCACTGTCCTAGGACCTGGAGACAATAAATTTTATACTCTTGATATCAGAAGAGACATTTTTAGAAGGACTACATTCATCTTGTAGTCCTTCATCATTGTAGATACAATAGCCATAGTCTTACTTCATTTAAAAATACTCACCAGCAGCTACATTTTTGACATTCTTTCAAAGTAATCTGAGCTCTTCTGCCTGTTTTGTATAATTCTATTGTCTCTAGTTTGATCTCCAGTAAAAAGAAACAACAGAAAAATAAGTTCAAAGAAAGGTGTATGTACCTTGGCAAAATCTCTTAAGTCAGACAATTATTTTAAAATTATAATTCTGCTAGGTATATTCCTAATGTTTATCGATTTGTTTCCCCAAATCGATACACTCCTTTCTCAAAGGTCCTATTATTTAAAAAATTATAAATATTCATAGATTTTTCCATACTACTTTCTTTTTTTCCCTTTCTTTTTTAAGAACTGAGTAATCTACCCTTATGCTGAGAATTAATCAGGCATTCCTCAGTGAGTAGAATAACATGATATGCAATTTAAGTGTCATGATTGTTTTTTAATGGCACTGTAGTCTTAGATTCACATTCTACTACCTACTGTGTCTCCTAAATCATGTTAAGTGTTATTCATACCAGGGACAATGCATCAATTTTAAATGAGCATTTTCTACTGTCTCGAAATTGTCCCTGTGTAATCTGTTGTATGTGTTTCTGTTACATTCTGTAATATATGACCATTCTGAATGCTAGCTCTATCATTACTTCCCCTGTTTTCTATGTCATTTGTAATCCGTAGAGTCATGGATTACTTGTCATGTTTCCTCTCATTTACTAACAACTTAAGAAATCAGTAATTGTAGGTTTATTTTCAGATGAAGAACAGACCTAAAACATGGTTAGACCTAAACACAATGGCTAGTGAACCATTTTCTTTCATTTCCTTTAATTAGATCTAGTGATGTGACAGAGCAAGGTCTGCGGCTCCTACCTTGTTAGATCTCCTTCTTAAATATTCAGAAAAAAATTTTTATTTTGGAGACAGAGTCTCATTTTGTTACCCTCGGTAGAGTGCTGTGGTGTCACAGCTCACAGCAACCTCAACCTCTTGGGCTCAAGCAATTCTCTTGCCTTAGCTTCCTGAGTAGCTGGGACTAAAGATGCCCATCACAATGCCTGGCTATTTTTTCTTTTAGAGATGAAGTCTTGCTTTTGCTCTGGCTGGTCTTGAACCCATGAGCTCAGGGCAATCCACCTGCCTCTGCCTCCCAGAGTGCCAGGATGACATGCATGAGTCACCACACATTGCTTCTCAGCCTTTTGGCTAAGATTAAGTGCATGAGCCACCACACCTGGCCTATTCAGGAATTTTTTAAGCCAAGCCATTGTTAAAAATTAAATTATGAAAACTTGCTAAAAATAAGTTACGTAAAAAAAACAGGTTTTCATAAATCAAATGTTAAAATAAATGATGTTAAAAACAAATTCTCTCTCTATACATATTATTTTACTTCATTTTACTATTATCCTTGCTCTTGAAATTATTTCCATCTATTGTTTCTGTATAAATGGAAATACTGTGTAATGATGTGCTACTCCATACCTTATTGCCATTCTGTGTACTGGTGGTGTTCTTGATTCCTAATCCTGAATTAGGTAATGTCAAGAAAACACTTCACAGAAATAGAAACCAAAGCAATCAGGAATAGCTATTCCTAAGTCAGATAAAACAGACTTTAATTCAAGAACAGTGGAAAAAGACAAAGATGGTCATTATATAATAAGAAAAATGATTAATCAATAAAAATATATAAAAATTCTAAATATGTCTGAGCCTGATACCAGAGTTCCCAGATTCATTAAACAAATACTACTAGACCTAAGAAAAGAGATAAGCCAGCAACAAATCTCCCAGAAATCTATTGATCTTCTAGGACCTGGAAGTCCAAATTTCTAGAAGACCTGGAAAATTCCCTTGAGTATTCCCTCAAATAGATTTCCAACATTTGTGTGTTTTCTTTTTTTACCCTAAAAGATGCTCATGATTCCTATGTTAGGCCTCTTTATATAATCCCATATATCTTGTAGGTTTGTGTTTATTCTTTTTATTTCTCTTGTTTTTTCTCTTTGACTGATTTGCTTAATTCAAAGGTATTGTCTTCTAGCACTGTGATTCTTTCTTCTGCTTGACTTAGCCTATTCTTAAGGCTTTCAAATCTGTTCTGTATCTCCTTGAATAAATTTTTCATTTCCAGAATCTCTGCTTGATTTTTTTTAAGTAATTAAATTTCTTTAAGGAATCTTTCTTTCCATACACTGTTTTGTTGTTTTCTGGGCCATGTGATTACCTCTATTCCCTTGGAAGAAGAACTTGATAGCTCTAGGTGGTGAGTGGGGGCATGAAACTTCAGAAGGGCCATTATTCTCTGCCACAGAAGAGGCAGGTGGGGGAATATGGCTGGATGAAAATGGATTGGGTGAGCTTGCCCCTAAGCAACAAAGAAAATAAAATACCTAGGAATATATTTAACCAATCAGGTAAAAGACCTCTATAGGTGTGAGTTTCCAGGAAAGGGAAATCACAGAAGACGTAAACGAATAGAAAAATATATCATGCTCATGGATTGGCAGAATCACCATTGTTATAATAACTATACTACCCAAAGAGATCTACAGATTTAATGCAAACTCCATCAAATACCAATGCCATTTTTCTAGAAAAATAATTTTATGCTTTGCATGGAAGTAGAAATGGCCCCAAATAGCCAAAACAACCTGAAGCAAAAAGGAAAAATTAGAACACATAACTTTATCAGACTTCGAGCCTATACCACAAGGCTATCATATACCTATACCAAAACAGCATGTCACTGGCACAATAACCACGGCACATAGACCAATGGATGAGAAAAAGAAAACCCAGATATAAAACCAGCCTCATATTGCCACCTGATCTCTGACAAAGGAGACAATAACATACACCAGGAAAACAATCCCTATTCAATAACTAGGGCTGGGAAAATTAGATAGTCACATTTGAAAAGATTGAAACTGGATCCACACCTCTCACAAAAATTAAGACACAACAGACAACAGACTAAAACCTGAGGCATGACATTGTAATTCCAGAAGAAAACACTGGAAAAATTCTTATAGGCAATAAGAATTAACATTAACAAATTAAAATTAAATTATAAAGCTTGTGCATAGCCAAGGGAAACAATCAATACAGCAAATAGACAACCTACAGAAGGGGAGAAAATATTTGCATGCTATGCATCCAATAAAGGGATGATAACTGTGTAGAGAACTCAGGCAAATTAGCAAGAAAAAAATCCAAAAACCCCATTAAAAAGTAGGCAAAAGACATGAACAGAAGCTTTTCAACGGGAGATATACTAATGGGCAATAAATATACGAAAAAAGGCTGAACATTTCCAGTCATCAGGGAAATGAAAATCAAATCAAGGAGTAACACCTAACTCCAATGAGAATGACTTCTATAAAAAAATCCCAACAAATCAGATGCTGGTGTGGATGTGGAAAGAAAAGAACTCTTATACTCTGTTGGTAGAGCTGCAAACTAGTACAACCTCAATGGAGAGTCATATGCAGATACCTCAGAAAAACTAAAAGTAGAATTATCATTTAATCTAGCAATCCCACTATTAGGTATTTACCAAAGGACAAAAAGTCATTTTATCAAAAAGACACGTGCACATGAATGTTTATTGTAGCACAATTCACAATAGCAAAGATGTGGAATCAATCCAAGTGCCCATCAAGATGAGAATAGATTAATAAGGTGTGGTGTATGTACATCATGGAGTACTACTCAGCTGTTAAAAAATTATGAATTAATTTTTTTTGTAACAACTTGTATGGAAGCAGAGACCATTCTTCTAAGGGAAGTATCACAAGAATGGGAATAAAACCCCACAGGTACTCACTGTTAAATTAGAACTAATTAATCAACACCTACTGCATAATTGGTACTCAATAGAAAAAAGCAGGTGGGAAAGGGAAGGAGGAGAGGGGTAAATTCACACTGAATGGGTATAATACATACTGTCTGGGTGATGGGCACATCCACAGCTTGGACTCAAACTGTACAAAAGCAATTCGTGTAACCAAAACATTTGTATGCCCATAATATTCTGAAATATTTTTAAAAAGTTATTAAAGACCAGAGCAGAAATAAAATTTGAACCAATAAATAATACAAAGGATCAATGAAATGAAAAGTTAGTTCTTTGAAAAGAAAAACAACAATCTAGTAGAACAATAGCTAGATTAACCAAGAAAAGAAAAGAGAGGATTCATATAAACTCAGTTAGAAATGAAAAGGGAGACATTACAACTGATACCATGGAAATATGAAAAAAAATCCAAGACTACTATGAACACTACTATGCATAGAACTAGAAATTCTAGAGAAAATAAATAATTTTTTGGAAGCACACAACCTTCTGAACTTGAATCAGGAAGACATAGAAATCCTGAATAGACAAACAAGTAATGAGATTGAATGAGTATTAAAAAATCTCCTAGAAAAAAAAAAAAAAAGGCCCTGAACCAGACAGATTCACAGCTAAATTCTACTAGATCTTCAAAGAAGAAGTGGTAACTATTCTACTAAAATGGTTCCAAGAGATCAAGAAAGAGGAGATACTCCCCAACTTATACCATGATGCCTATGCCAGGAAATAATACAAAAAAAAAAAAAAAGAAAGAAAGAAAGATAGAAAACTACAGGTCATATCCTTTATGAACATAGATGCAAAAATCTTCAAAAAATACTCTCTAAATCAAAAGCATATTAAAAGCATAATTCATTGTGATGAAGTAGATTTCATCCCAGAGATGTAAAGATAGTTTAACATTCATAGAGCAATAAATGTGATTCACCACATAAATAGAATTAAAAACAAAATTATGTGTTTATCTCAATATATGCAGAAAAAGCATTCAATGAAACCCAGTAGTCTTTCAGGATAAAAACTCTCAATAAAGTAGGCATAAAAGGAACATACCTCAAAATAATAAAAGTCATGTATGACATACCCAATAGCCAACATCATATTGAATGAAGAAAAGTTGAAAATATTTCCTGAACTAACTGGAATAAGGCATACCCACTCTAACTTCTTCTAATCAACATAGTACTAGAAGACCTAGTCTTCTTACCAGAGCATCAGGCAAGAGCAAGAAATAAAGGTCATCCAAATCAGAAAAAAAGAAGGTCAAACAATCCTTGTTTGTTGACATAATCTGAATATACATAAATAAGTAGTATTTCTATATACCAATAACAGCCAAACTGAGAACCAAATCAAGAACTCAATACCATCTACAATATCTGAATAACAAAGTTAAAATACCTAGGAATATACTTAACTAAGGTGAAAGATCTTTACAAGGATAACTTAAGAACACTGATGAAAGAAATTGATTATAGATGACACAATTGGAAAAACATCATGCTCATGGATTAGAAGGTCAGTATTGTCAAAATGTTCATACTGTTCAAAGTGATTTACAGATTAAATGTAATTCTCATTAAAATACTAAAGTCATATTTCACAGAAGTGGAAAAACTCTCCTAAATTTCATTTGGAATCAAAAAAGAGCCTGAAAATCCTAGCAAAAAGAACTAATCTAGAGGCATTACCAGATTACAAATTATACTATAACTCTATAGCAACCAAAAAGCATGGTTCTGGTGTAAATGTAGATATGTGGGTCAACGAAACAGAATAGAAGACTCATAAATAAAACCATGTACCTACCTACAACCAACTGATTTTGACAAAGAAGACAAAAACAAACACTGGAGAAAAGATTCCCTAATCAGTCAATGTTGCTTAGAAAACTGGAAAGCCACAAGTGGAAGTATGGAACTGAATCCATATCTTTTACTATATATAAAAAAGAACTAGAGATGGATAAAAGACTGAACTATAAGTCTTGAAAGCCTTAAAAAGTCTAGAAGAAAGCTAGGTAAAACTCTTCTGGACATGGGCATATGCAAGTATTTATCACTAAGACCCCCCCAAAGCAAATAAAACAAAACCAAAAATGAATATATGGACTTAATTAAACTAAAAAGGCTTCTGCACTGCAAAAGAAATCATCAACAGAGTTAATAGACAACCTAAAGAATGGGAGAAATTTTTTTCAAAATACATATCTGATTTACTAAAGTAAATCAGCAAAAGAAAAACCTATTACCCATTAAAAAGTGAGCAAAAAACATGAGCAAACATTTTTCAAAAAGAAAATATACTAATTGGGGCCAATGCACATATGAAAAAATGCCCAACATCACCAATCATTAGGAAAATGCAAATTAAAAACAAAATGAGATAACACCTTACCCCTGTGAAAATGGCCATTATTAAAATGTCAAAAAACAATAAATGCTATGAACACAGTGAAAAAGGATTGCTTAGAAAATTGTTGGTGGGACTATAAATTAGTACAATCTCTATGGAAAACTATATGGAGATTTCTTAAAGAACTACATATATATCTATCATTTGATTTAGTGATCTCAGTACTGGGTATTTACCTAAAAGAAAACAAGTCATTATATAAAAAAGGACATCTGCCCTTGTGTGTTTATTGCAGCACAATTCACAACTACGAAGATGCGGAATCTACCTATGTGCCTATCAGCTTATGAGTAGATAAAGAAATGTGAGATTATGTAAACTCATATGTAAACATATATGAGTTTATACACAGTAGAAACTCTATATTTGACCACCTCCCTATATGGGTCACCTTAGGTTGACCTAATTTTAATAGACTAGACAGGAACCATATGTATATATTGTACAGTAGGCCTAGATCCTTATGTTGATCATCTCCATATGTTGACTTGTTTGTTTAGTCACTGAAGTATCTTGGGAACAGAAAAACAAATACCTCATGTTTTCAGTTATAAGTGGGAGCTAAGTGATAGTATTCATGTCATAGAAAGTGAGATGATATGGGCAGTGCCTGTGGCTCAGTGGGTAGGGTGCTGGCCCCATATACCATGGGAGGCAGGTTTGAACCCAGCCCTGGCCAAACTGCAACAAAAAAATAGCTGGGCATTGTGGTCGGAGCTTGTAGTCCCAGCTACTCAGGAGGGTGAGGCAAGAGAATTGACTCAAGTAAGCCAAGGAGTTGGAGGTTGCTATGAGCTGTGATGCCGTGGCACTCTATCAGGGGCAATAAAGTGAGACTATGTCTCTAAAAAAAAGAATAAAAGAAAGAGAGATGATAGACATTGGGCACTCAGGAGAAAGAAGGTTGGAAGGAGGGATGAGAAATGAAAATTATCCATGGGTATAGTATACACTATTTGCATGGATACACCAAAGTCAATTCATTCATATAAGAAAAAACCATTTATGCCCCCTAAACCTATTGAAAAAAAATTTTTTTTTTTTTGAGACAGGAGCCTCAAGCTGTCCCCCTGGGTAGAGTGCCGTGGCATCTCAGCTCACAGCAACCTCCCACTCCAGGGCTCAAGCGAGTCTCCTGCCTCAGCCTCCCAAGTAGCTGGGACCACAGGCGCCCGCCACAACGCCCGGCTATTTTTTGGTCGCAGCCATCATTGTTGTTTGGTGGGCCCGGGCCGGATTCGAACCTGCCACCTTGGGTGTACGTGGCTGGCTCCTTAGCCACTTGAGCCACAGGTTCTGAGCTGAAATTTTTAAAAAATTATTAAAAATTCACTCTTTTCTATGCTGTTTAAACTTGTCTGACAACTGTGATGCCTACTGCATTTATTTATAATATGCTAAGGGTCAACCAAAGACATGCTAGGCCCCGTGTTAACCACTTTTATATGTCTCATACCTTTTCATCTTCACAACAACCCTATGAGGTGAGTGCTATAATTACCCTCATCTCATAGATGATGAAGGTGAAGCATAACCAAGTTAATTAATTTACCCAAGTCACCCAGATAAAAACTAAGACTTAGAACGGCTTGAGAGATTCCCAGATTCACACAGGTGGTCACTAATAGAACCGGGATTCCAATCAAAGAAATAGACCCTAGAGGCCACACTTTGGACAGCTGTACCCTTCTACTTTCTCTGATTAGTTTATGAATTATTAAGGAAGATCAAGTCTAGGGTATATGAAGCTTCCATTGGTCAATTTCTTAGTGGCGTGATTCCACATGTGCAACAAACTTACAAATGTCACAAGGATCAGTTGGCATAATCTTGCTTGTTAAGTAAGGTAAAAATGATGAAATATTCCTTACTTCTTACTGTGTCTACTTTTTTGTTCTTCCTTAAAAATTGTCTATTGCAGTGAATTAATTCATATATGAACTAACTTGTCCTTTCATATAACTCTTACAATTTTACAGACAGCTTGCTTGGACCTAGAGAATTACATGCAAAAAACAGTGAATCCTTACATAATTAACGCCTCCCTAGCAGCCAAAATGTGTAGCCAAGTGCTTTGTGCGGAGCAAGGTGTGTGTACAAGGAAAGACTGGAATTCAGATGCCTATCTTCACCTGAATCCCCATAATTTTGCTATTCAGATGTCAACAGATGGACAGTACTTAGTAAGTGGAAAACCCACAATTGATGACCTACAGGAACTTGCTGATAATTTTCAATGCACCTGTTTTACCAACACGACTTGTGAGACCAGAACTAATGTAACAGACGTTAGTAGTATTAATGTGTGTATTAATGATGGTCTTTGTATAGATGCCTTACTAAAAGTAGAACCTGGTGAGCATTCTGAATTGGAGGACGGACTTTTTGTCACTTCCCATGTTCACTCTTTCTTCACATCAGTTACCACAATGGTCTTTTTAAACATTTTCATCAGTTTTACAGTGAATTTGTAATTCTACATGTTAGCTGAATTGAAGAATATGTCCCTTTTAAAATGTGCTTTTTAGAATAATTAAATATCTGAAAATACCATCTGTCATTGAAAGATCATCTTTGAAATGTATTTTCTGAATTATTCTTCCTAGTGAATGATGGTTTCCTTTGAACTTGACAAATACTAAAATCTTGTAGGAATTCTCAACCATGGGCTCAATTTGTATTCCAGGAATCAACAACTTGCCTATCAATATTTTCCAGCTTAGAGTACCCAAACTCATTTTATCTGTTTCCCTTGTAAAACTACTAGGATTGTTTCAACATAATCATTCTGTCCAAGATAATGATATTGTGGTGAAATTAAAATTTGATGAAATTAAAATTAAAATCCAAGATAACGATATTGTGATGAAATTAAAATTTGATTGGTTAAGATTTGAAAGTGATAACTCATTGATAAAACCCATCAATAAAATTTAGAGAAACTCTCTTCTCCTCTGCTGACAACTGGGGGGTGGGGGGGAGAGAGAGAGAGAAGAGAGAGAGAGAGAGAGAGAGAGAGAGAGATATGCAGGCTTTTTCTGGTGCCATTGAGGTCTCAGGATGGAAAGGAACATCACTGTGTACACAGTCTTCAACTCCCTATTAAAGCCAAGCGTGGTTGTAGTCAAATGCCTTACCTAGTATGACCCATACAAGTGTTAACTGCCACCTCCTTCCTCTTTAATTGCCTCTACTTCCTTTTAGGAATAACAGAGTAGCCACAACGTGGTTTGGTATAAGCCAAAACCGCAGCTGGCTAGGTACTGTCAAATTATGGTACTATTAAAGTCACTAAGATATGAAAGTAAATTCTTTGAGGCATTAAATTTACTGTGAGGACACAGGAAAATATTTTACTTGTTACAGACCTCACTTCTTTATATTAAAGCACTGTTTAATATCTGAATTGAGATAGAACTGAGAAAAGTGAAACAAGTGATTCAAATTCCTACTATACGTTTTAAGCTCCAAAAATTTTTTAAAAATTGAATCGCTGGGATAGTCTTTTACATTATGTTAGTTTAAAATCTTTTCTTGTTCTTTTTTCCCTTTTATTTTTAGTTTCCATGTAATAGTTGCATATATTTATAGGGTACAGAGTGATATTTTGATAGATGTATACAATGTATGATGATCACAACAGGGTAATTGGGATATCTGTCAACTTAAATATTTATTATTTCTTCATATTGGGCACATTGAAAATCCTCTCTTATAGCTTTTTGATCATGTTCAAAAAGTTATTGATAACTCTATTCACCCTACAGTGCTAAAGAACATCTAGAACTTCTTCCTCCCATTTCGGTATCATTTACTACCCATTAACCAATATCAAGCTATTCTTCACATTCTTTTTCAAGGCTGCAATGTATTCCATGGGTATATAAACATGCACCACATTTTCTTTATCCATTCATCTGTTGATGAACCTTTAGGTTGATTCCATATCTTAGCTATTATGAATAGTGAGTGCTGTAATAAACACGGGGGTACAGGTAATCTTTGATGTATTTATTTCCTTTTCTTTGGATAAATATCCAGTATTAGAATTGCTGGATCCCATAGTAGTTCTATTTTTAATTTTCTGAGAAATTTCCATATTGTTTTCCACATAGCTGTACTCATTCCTACTCCCACCAACAGCATATGAGTTCTCTTTTCTCTGCATCCTTGCCAGCATTGATTCTTTTGTATTTTTGATAATAGCCATTCTAACGGGGGTAAGATCATACCTCATCATGGTATTGATTTGCATTTCCCTCATGATTAGTGATGTGTGCATCTTTTCACTTATCTGTATGCCATGTGTATTCTTCTTTTGAGAAGTGTCTATTCGGATACTTTGCCCTTTTTTTAGTTGGGTTATTTTGGGGGGGGGTTTGTTGTTTTTGTTTTTTTGCTGTTAAGTTCTTTGCACATTCTGGTTATTAGTCCCTTATTGAAGGAATAGTTTGCATCTATTCTTTCCCATTCTGTAGGTTGTTGCTTCATTCTCTTGACTTTTTCTTGTTGTTGTTGTTGTGCAGACACTTTTTAACTCAGTGTAGTCCCTACTCATCCATTTTACTTGCCTATTTTTGTTTTTGTTGCCTCTGCTTTTTTGTAGTCTTCCTTGTAACATCTTTGCTTAGACAATGTCCTAAAGCATTTTTCCTGTTTTCTTCCACTATTTTTATAGTTTAAGGTTTTAACATTTGTCCTTAACTATTTTAAGTTGTAAAACCATTTTTTGATTCTGAAACATCATTAAATTCCAGACTTTCCCTAGGAATACAGAAGCAAATGTGTACATGTATACTTAACACAAATTGGCTTATGGTGAGTATAATTTTCTATAGCTTGCTTTTCTCCCCAGACAACATATTTTGAGTGTCTGTCCATATCAGCAAATCTTTGTACTGACCACATCATACTCCATTGTATCACCATGTGACAGTTTTATTTATTTACTTATTTATTTGTTTGTTTATTTATTTCAGATTAATGTGAGGGTACAAATGATCAGGTCACATCTTTTGCATTTGTTAGGCAAATCTCAAGTTGTAGACTATGTGACAATTTTAAAAGAAATTTGTTAATAGACACTTAATTTTTAGACTTTTTACTCTATCATAAATTTCATAGTATCATTTAAAATGAATATTTGGGCACATTTTTTCCAGGATAAAATGGAATTGCTAATGTTAAAGTTATATACATTGTGATTTATATAACTTACACTCTCTGTGTGCCAGGATTACTGGCTTGAGACAACACACCTAGCTATGCAGAATAATTTTTTAAAACACAGACTGTAATATAGTATTTGGGAAACAGCATGGTGCATGTGTCTACACATGTTTACCTATGTGTGTGAGTGAGAAAGAGGAATGGAGACGAGGAGAGAGCGTGAAAGTGTGGGAACCTCTGAAAATTGCTGAAGTGTGAAGGCAAAGTGGGACTTGGTGGGAGACGGGAGTTGAGGCTGGAAAGGTGAACAGGTATCAGATATGAAGGGTCTTTTGGGTGATGCTAGAGAAATGGCAATTAGTCCTTTAAGAAGGATTAAAATGATCAGATTTGTGTTTTAAATCTTTGGGGAAAATGGAGAAGTTGGGTATTAGGTCCTGGAGGCAGAAAAACCAACTAGGAAGCTCATGTCATATCTAGACCATGGAGATTGAATTTTTGAATTAGGGAAGTCTTAGGAATGGAGAAGAGAAGATAGAATTAGAAATCAATAATTGGCCGATTGGATGTGGAAGAGTGAAAGGAAAACAAGGAACCTAATCTGATATCAGATTTCTTGCCAGGGTGATGTCACGGAGTTCTGAGAAAGTATCACAGGTTGAAAAGTAGGTTTCAGGGATTCTGTTCTGAGCATATTGCATTTCGGGTGACTGTAGGTTATCCAGATAGTTTTTATTTTCAGACAGTTTATTTTAAAGTTCTATGTTTAGCAGCTTAAGGGAGAGATAAGGACTACATCTTTAACAATGGATAATAATAGAGAGATAGAGTATGTCTAGTAGTTTGAGAACCTGGTCTCCAGAGCCAGACTACCCGAGTTAGTTATTAGGCCCATCATTTACCATCTGTGTGAGCACATGCAAGTTACACACCTTCTCAGTGCCTTCATTTCCTCGTGTGCAGTGAGAATGAAAGGACTTGATATATATTCAACTTTTAGATCAGTTGGCACATACTAAGCTTGTTGTATTGTCCTTATTTTTGTTTAGCTTTCATTTATTGAATACTTGCTCTGAGCTAAGCCTGTGCTAAGAGCATGTAGATAATTTCTCCTTTAATCTCCATAGTACCTTGTGATGGTGACACTGTTATGATCTGAGGAAACAGAGACATTAGTCTAAACAACTTTCCTCACTAGGAAATAAGGGCAGAGCCAGAACGAAAACTCAGGACTGTAGGAAAATGGAAATCTAAGTCTAGTTAAATAATATTTGAAATCTTGAGAGTGGATGAATCCACCTGGAGAAGTGTGTGAAGGGTGAGGAGTCAGGGATTGCCAGTGCTCCTCAGAGGGTGGGGATGAGGGCAGAGAAAATCACCTAGAGATGCTCCGAGCCAGAGGCAGGAGGAGAAGCAGGTGCGCAAAGTCAGTTGCATCTGTGGACAAGTAAGGCAGGATTTCCTTTTCTGTCTGCTCTTAAAGGCTTTTCTCTTCCATTACCCCTAATGTTAAGATTTTGTATGTGTTAAAATGTATTTCTCCATACTTCTCTAAGTTAAAAAAAAATTAAGCAAACACACATGATTCTTGAATTTATTTATTTATTTATTGAACAGATTCTCATTCTGTCATCTGAATAGAGTGCCATGGCATCATACCCCACAGCAACCTTGAACTCTTGGGCTTAAGAGATACTCTCACCTCAGCCTCCCTAGTAGCTGAGACTACAGGTACCCTTCACAGTGCTCAGATAGTTTTTTTCTTTTTTTCTATTTGTTTTACTAGAGATGAGGTCTTGCTCTTGATCACCTCCTCTTGAACTCCTGAGCTCAAGCAATCCTAGGATTACATGTGTGAGTCACCATGGCTGGCCAGACACATGATTCTTAAATCCTATACCAGAGGCATCAAAATATCCAATGTATGATGAAGGTACTTACTACTCAGAACTGCAGAGCTGCCATCCATTTCAGATGCTAAGAGCCACCTCCTTTCTCTAGGCAGTGGCCATAGGGAGGAATAAATCACATCTGCTTCTGTGCTCAGCTTAGCGTTTCCTCTAGGGCAGTGGTTCTCAACCTTCCTAATGCTGCGGCCCTTTAATACAGTTCCTGTGGGTCGCGGCCCAGGGTTGAGAATTGCTGCTCTGGGGTCCCCTACCCTGAGTTGACTTTTTTCCCTAGGACTCTGTATATCTGTTTTAGTTTGCTAGGAACACCATGACAAAGTACCTGAGATTGGGTGGCCTAAATAACAGAAATCAATTTTCTCACAGCTCTGGAGGCTGTAAATCTGGGATCAAGG